AAAAAAAAAAAAAAAAAAAAGAAACAGTATGTTTCCACGCTAATTTTCTTCTTGCACTTCTTGCAATCTCTCCATTAGACATTCAATTCCAATTTATTGTCTGGTACATACACAAAGCTTTAAATAAGATTTGTTGTTTAGGTTGAAATTGCATCCAGCAACCCTACCTACTTATACACATAACTACAAATTTTCTGGAATTTGCTAATTTCTTCCCATGTGTAAGACACTGGGTTAAATTCTTTTAAACATGCAAGGAGAAAAAGAGCGAAAGAAAGAGAAAAGGGAAAAAAAGAAATAGAGAAAGAGAAAGGAAGGAAATGAAGGAGGGAAGAAGGAAGGAAGGAAGGAAGGAAGGAAGGAAGGAAGGAAGAAAAAGAAGGAATTGGATGCTTTCTCTCCATTCAAGACAGTTTGGTTGTTGAGAGCCTATGATGTGATAAATCCATTAATACGTCTTCTTCAAACAGCTGTCTAAAAGTTCTTCTTTTTCAAATGTTGCCTTGTCAGAGATCAAAATAATTTCTTAATCTGCAGTCTGAATAATTTTTTATGGTTCTGGTTAATGATGAAAAGACAAAGTTTTCAGTAGGTACTAACATAATTTACAATCTCTTCTGAAACCTGTTAATACATTTTCTAATTATGGAGAACAGACTTCAAAGCCCAGGACCTCATGGTATGCATCAGGAGCTTCATCAGTCAATAAGAGAAGAAGGAATTTATTAAAACACAGAAAATACTCAAAAGCATGACTCCTGAAATTCTTCAGTGTCTAATCAGGCCTTTACTGTCAAGAAGCTCACAATTTAATATGAAAAGTGTACATACTAAGTAAAAATCAATACACAGTATGTGTCTAGCAGTAATTATGAGATGCCACTAAATAAATTATAGACGAGAGATGCACCCTCCAGAGGATTACTCAAAGAAGAATCCACAGGAGAGGCAAGACTTAAATGAAGCCCTAAAAGGCATATAGGATTTTAATAGATATATTTGCAGGATACAGAGAGTCTTTGCTGGGATAAACATATAAATAATAATAATAGCAATAATAATAATAGTCATAGAAATAGTATCTTCTGCTACTACCATTTACTGGGCTTGATGATGTTCTGGGCATGGTGCTAAGTGCTTTATATGAATTACCTCATTAGGTTTTTATGACAAGCCTCTAAAGTAGAGAATGGAAATTGCAGATGTTGAACCTGAATCCTAGTGATTACGAGTGACTTCCCAAAGGGACATAGAGGTGAACTAGAGTCTATCTGGTCCCATGCACTGAGTAAGCACTAAGATTATCTGTTCAAGTGAAGAGTTTGCTTTGAGAGGAAATGGAATCTATAGCTGTAAATATACTTTGGAACAGACCCTGAATACCAGTTTATAGCATTTGTGCACATGTGTGTGGGTTTCTGGCCTTTTTCCTATAGAAATGGGGACACTGTAGAAGTGTTCCGTAGGAAAGGTTTATGACTTATAACTATCACTATGAAGGCACTATGCAGTAGACTGGGCAAATTGAAGGCAGAAGCCCAATTGAGAGTGTGCAGAAAATGAACAGGGGGAAAAAAGATGTGAAAAGAAATGAAAATGAACTGGAATACTTTGGACCCTTAATTCTGAACTCATTTTTATTTTTTGGAAAAGTATCAGAAACCTAAGTTGCAGAGATTTTAAAATTTTTAAGTTTAGAAATCTATACTTGTAAAATATGCATCTATTTTGATGGAGTAGGGGATTAATGTAATCTACGGTGCAGCAGAGAAATGGTTAACAGGAGCCCCATGCCCACCCCACCCCCCAAGTAAAAAAGGCAGAGAAGAGTTTGAGAGGGAATCGCATGAGCTATAGAGGTGGCTCATCTCAGGAACTCCATCCTGAAACCGACACATTAGCACAGAACCACACCCAATCTATAGATTGTGAATCCAACTGAAGAAAGGTAGAAACAGGACTATAACCAACTAGGCCAGGTAAGTGGCAGCCTTCTTCCAAGGATAGCACTGAAATGCAATAAGAAAACAGCCTTCCCAGTTGCTCAAGAAGCAGCCAAAACGATTTTGAAGCCTTGCTTTTCAAGGCCTTGAGGATCCTTTGCTGCTAGCCATTCCAAGATTGCAGCCAGGCAACTTGCACAGGCTGGAAGTGTTCAGCATTTCCTGGTAAAGACAGGAAAAAGCAAACAGAACTTGTCCAGATTACATCCTTATTACCTCTAAGCTTAAATACCATGGACTAATTAAACTCAATTTTTATAATGGACTGACTTTGATCTTAAAAGGGGTTCCTACAGTGCTAGACTTGAGTCTAGACTTAAAGCCAGCCTTGACTCCCTGGACACTGGTAAGTTCCTACTTGGTGAGCCTAGATTTCTAGTGGCTTGTAATGTAGTTTCTAAAAAATGGGGCATTGGTGGGGTTTTTGTTTATTTTTTAAGGAGATAAATAAATTAAAATTAGTCAACTGCATTTCTGAGCTGAGAAGTGGCTCTACTTACTAAAACATATATTCTATTAGTTTCCAGCCACAGTCCCATTTCTGCTGCACTGAAATCTAATGCTATAAGATAAAATATTTTCTATTAAATTTGATAGGTTTAAGTAAAACTACATGACATGCTTCCATCAAAGGAAATAAAAATCATTCTTCAAAGTGGAATCAATTTGCAATTGTGACAGATGATGTTTTTCAAATTTAGCTGCAGTTCCACAATGGTACTTTGATGTCTCTGAAATAATTGACATAAGGAGCAATTCTCTATTTTAAACTGTGTTCTACTTTCAGTTTGGTTCTTTATAATAGGAACACTCCACAGGGTCCTGGATTCTTGCAGTTTTTATTTTGCAAACTACATCATAAATAAAAAGCTTCTTTTTATAAAAAATGTCTGATTTTATAATAGAAAATGTTCTCCCATTTTTATATTGGAAATAATCTGTTCTTCCTTTGAGCAATTAATGTATATTGGTGCATAAGTTATCATGTAAATTATCTCATATATCTTAGTTGACAAATATCTCCATTCCAAGCAAGCATAGATTGCATTCAGTTTTTATTAATTATAATTTTTTCCTGGAGACTAAAGAATTAAACTAAACACTCAGTTTCTTCCAAAATTTCTCAGAAATATCCAAGCTGAGATCATCATAAACTTGAAAGCAAAAGTGACAGAGAAGAATTAATAGGCTGAAATCAAGATCTTGAAGCATCTTTGCTGAGGCATGGCTACCTGAAAACCCACCTACTGAAAGTTCATAGGCAGATGTAGATGTTCTGTAGTGATAGCTTTGAAATCTTTAATACTCTGGTTCTTGTGGGTTCATGGCAAATTTTCCAATGATTCTCAGAAAAAGGAGAAAATAAGAACAGTGCTGCAATGAATTTTTCATAAACATAAATATATTTATTGAAACGATTGTCCTTTACATAGGAGATTGTCCTTTTCTTAAGCCCTTTCTTTACAAAATAATTATTAGGTTGATAGTAGGATGTTTGTTGTTGTTAACATCTTACTTGGTAAAATGAAAGGTTGCCAATCTTGTGTTAGTCCTACTTGTTTTTCTTTGTTTTTTTAAAATTGTTTCAATGTTTATTTTTTGAGAGAGAGACAGAGAGAGACAGAGCACGAGCAGGGGAGGGGCAGAGAAAGAGGAACACACAGAATCTGAAGCAGGCTCCAGGCTCTGAGCCGTCAGCACAGAGCCCGACGCAGAGCTTGAACTCTCTAACCATGAGATCATGACCTGAACTAAAGTGGACGCTTAACCGACTGAGCCCCCCAGAGCCCCCCACTTGTTTTTCTTTGAAACCATGCTAAATACCAGTGGGAACTTTAGTGAATCTCCTTCCTTCCAGCCCCACGGCTTAAAAGGGGGCATGTACAACCCATTGCCTCACTTTAAAAAAAAAAAAAAAAGAGTAGGTGAAGTGGCAAGAGTTCTGTTAGAGTTCTCTAGCATCTAACATTTCTTTAGAGGATAAGTATTATATCCTGGTTTCAATAAAATACCAGGGAACTAGATTTAAAAATGTCATTGACCTCTCAAATATGTATTACAACATAGATCTCAAAGCAGTATTAACATACCTGTCATGATTTTATCATTCTTCAAGCTGAATCCATTTTACAGTGCAGATTAACTCTACTACTTGCCAAAACTGAGTTTAGAATCATTTAGTTATTTGATAAGCTGTTTCTGGGTTACTCTGTCCCTTTGCCTAACTATCAGTGAAAAGATGAAATGCTAGTATATCAAATGCTCACGTCACTGAAAATCACTGTAATTCCCAATGTCATCTGGTACTCTAGGATCACTGGAAGTAACAAGAAACCAATGAGACTGAAAAGTATCCTATGTGATTTGACATAGTCTTGAGAAAACACGGAGTGTCTGTGACTTGTGTTTTCCATGAGTCGTGGTACATTTGACGTTCTATTGCTTTCTTTCCCTTTTCCCCTTTCCAGTGAAGTCAGATGAGTTACAGACAATCAAGAAAGAATTAACCCAGATCAAAACGAAAATTGACTCCTTGCTAGGGCGCCTGGAGAAAATTGAGAAGCAGCAGAAGGCGGAGGCAGGTAAGTGAAAAGGATCTGTGGCCATAGACACGTTGTAATTAAACCAGTGAAACACTGTCAATCACAGGGACAGCTCAGGGCCGGCGGGACACTGGCTGAGTTTAACAGTTTAATACAGATACGTGAATAAAGTCTTTGAGCCAAGAGTTGCAACAATGCAATCTAAGTTTTTACTGTTTGGAGAACATGAACCAATTTGTCTAAAATTCATATTTTTTAAAAAGAAAAAATATTTTGATAGTAATAATAATAATTATATCATAATTACAAGTTAATATCTCAATATCAAGCAACTTTAAGAAAATAAAATCAATTAATGGAATAACACTGTCAGACTAAAATAATATTCATATTTAAATAAACAAACTGCAGAAATATAACAGATTTCAAAAACAGTGATCATAAAGCCCAGCTCCTGCGTTGCTACAACCCTGCAAAACTTCAGTACCCAGTTTCAGGATCCTCAAAATCAAGAGCATGTCCCTGACCACCCGCGGCCAAGTCATTTGGTTATATCTCTTATAACTTAATGTTCCCCTCTCCTTTGAATTATCAGCCTTGACCCTATTTGTATTCTAATACAATTCTAATGCCCTTGTCATGTGGTTACAGATATTTTTTAAATCACAGAATATGAGAACTGGGATAAAGTTGGAGATGAGCGAGTGCACATCGTGTTCTGCAAGGCCTCACATGCCTCAGAGGCTCCCTGGAGATAAGATGAAGGTTAGAAGGAGGCCCGGGAGGTAGATGAATTCTTGCTTCCTCTAAATTCAGCCCTTGTTCTACCTGCATCTATTTTAAATATTGGGATTCAACATAAGGCTTCATATTCTAAAAGAGCTTCACTTTTTAAAAAATAAAAAATATAGTTTTGAAAGCCATGGATCAATACCAGCCTCCTCATTTCAGAGACAAAAATACAAAGATTCAGGGAGGTAAATTGATTTTTCCATAGTCACCTAACTAGTGAGTGATAGACCTAGGTCTCGAACCCAGGTCTCGTGAGTGAATCCAGTGCCCTTCCCATTTGTAGTTTCAATCTCAGGTTCCACTCAGGGCCTGGTCCCAGGATCTCACTGACGTGACGCTACCTGGATTACTCTTAATTGATGAGAACTGGTGGGGATCCTGGAGCCCCTGAGCTACAGCAAAGAGGAACCTGCCTATTCATTCACCGTACCACTGGGGTGACGACCAGAGCTTTTACCTCCTGCCAATGAGCCATATAGGACTCAAGAATGAAAAGAAGCCAGATGTGAGTTGGTGGTATAGCATAATGAATGAGACATATAAACTCTGGTTCAGATTCTCACATGCCAGTGACTGAGCCTTCTCCTTTATAGAATGAAGATAATAATCCCCACCTCACTTTGTGAGAAACAAATAAAATATCACATGTAACTTATATGGCACAGTAATTAGCACAGAGTAAAGGCTCAGTAATTAGAGCTGTTTGGCATTGGTACTAACACAAGCATATAACTGCAAAGAACATTTCCTGCTGTTTTCACGCAACCCATTTTTTTAAAAACATGAGCCATATACCTAGCATGTGGCAGATTCTCACCAATGTGAATGTGAAAAAATAGATAATACAGAATTGTTTTTATTAAAAATTTCTATTATCAGCATATTTTCTACTATAAAAAGATATGGGCAAAAGATTTGAGTGAACATTTTTCTAAAGAAGACAGGGGTGCCTGGGTGGCGCAGTCGGTTAAGCGTCCGACTTCAGCCAGGTCACGATCTCGCGGTCCGTGAGTTCGAGCCCCGCGTCGGGCTCTGGGCTGATGGCTCGGAGCCTGGAGCCTGTTTCCGATTCTGTGTCTCCCTCTCTCTCTGCCCCTCCCCCGTTCATGCTCTGTCTCTCTCTGTCCCAAAAATAAATAAACGTTGAAAAAAAAAATTTAAAAAAAAGAAGACAAACAGATGGCCATCAGGTGCATGAAAAGATGCTCAGCATCACTAATCACCAGGGAAATGCAAACCGAGACCACAAAGTAATATTACATCACACTTGTTAGAATGACTAGTATCAAAAAGGCAAGAAACAACAAGTGCTGGTGAGGATGTGGAGAAAACGGAACCCTTGTGCACCATGGGTAGGATTGTAACTTTCCACTATGGAAAACAGTATGGAGGGTCCTCAAAAGATAAAAAATAGAACTTCCATATTATCCAGTAATCACACTACTGAGCATTTATTTGAAAAAAAAACAAAACAAACAAACAAACACTGCCTACAGTTCTTAATAGAGAAATTTAGATTTTAGGAAGTTTTTTTATATACTGTGTATGGCAGTAATGTAAAGTGTTTCTGTGACTGAACTATCCTGTGATGTTGCCTAAATCAATATTTCCCTTTGAGGAACTTTTGTGAAATTCGTTATTATGTAAAACAACCCTTACAGCAAAGGACTTTGATAACCAATTTGCACTTCAGTTTAAAGGATTATGGAGAACTCATTTAAATATAAATCACCTCAAAGAGAAAAATGTGATCCTTATTCTATCATATTATACCTTCCAGTTTCCTGCAATGAATAATACCTTTCACTTATCTTCTTGGGAGATCATCTATAAATGTAACGCCAAATTCAAAGCTTGCATTTTCTTTTCATGAGAGGCTGTCACCTTATTTTTGTACGTGTTTAAACTTTCCCAGTCATGAGACATTTATTTTTAAAATGATAGGCTTAGTCTTTTGATATTTATGTCTTTCTTACTTTAACATGTTAGGAAGAAAATGGAATTATTTAATTTGTAATTTCATTCACTTAGCAATTGTCTCCTGAACAGCATTTGTATTTAATGGAGATAAGGTGATTACTTTCTATATTTTCTTTATGAAAAGAAAAGTCTTTCCTTGTAAGGAAAGACTCAAGATTAGATTATAGAAAGTGGCAAGAAATATGATAAAATTCTTAAAAAATACTCCATATCTCCTTACTAAATTTAAGGGAGCACTCATTTTAATGCTTACTCTGTTGCAAACTAATTATCTGCTGGCTAACTAACATTTACTCTTCATTATTACTCTTTCATACATCTCCCATTCCCAGTCTTAGTTATTTGATAATGAAAGTATCCAGCATAGGGGCGCCTGGGTGGCTCAGTCAGTTAAACATTCCACTTGGGCTCAGGGCATGATCTTGCAGTTCATGGTTCGAGCCCCGCATTGGGCTCTGTGCTGACCGCTCAGAGCCTGGAGCCTGCTTCAGATTCTGTCTCCCTCACTCTCTACCCCTACCCCGCTCGTGCTTTGTCTCTCTCTCTCAAAGATAAAAAATAAATATTACCCAAAACTTTTGAAGAAGAAAAAAAGAAAGTTTCCAGCATAAAATACTGACAGGAAATGGAAGATCATGAACCAAAGATGGGGAAAACCACGCTAAATGGAGATTGTACAGTATTCGAGTCATAGTATCATTTTTTTTCTTCTTTGTTTGTAGTGAATTTCTAAGCTATGAGGAATAATTGTAATGAAGTACCATTACTTGATTTTGTATTCTATATCCTGACTAGTAGATATTTGTATAGCATCCTGTCTCTTTCTTTGATATTGTAAGCCTCCTGAGCACATGGTCCTGTCTTCTCTTCCTTTTCTCTTTCCAACATGTAGTATGTACCAGGCACAACCTGGCAAGTCATTTAACTTCTCTAGGTCTCAACCCCTCAGATGTAAACTAGAGGAATGATTATGACCTCAAACATAAATCCCAACTTTTAAGCTACAAATAGTATGAATCCATAATGCATATGTTATTCTTTTCTATTGAATAATTCAATTAACATAACTTTGGAATGTAGTGACTATGTAGATTATTGAAAACAACAAATAACACATATCAATTTAACCTACAACTGTGCCTCATTCCTAGATGACTCTTTTAAAAGAGCCACATATAAATGGCCACATATGAATGGCACAATTTATATGTGGTTTGCACAGTGATGTTAAATGACCAAAAGGGATAAAAGAAGCAAGAAGGAAAACTAGAGACTGGATATCTATAATGGGCACAATTAATCCACAGGTACCTATATGTAAAAAAAAAAAAAAAATCAAACTTCAGGTATAAAGTCTCTGATGTGAAAAGGCAAATAGACATTATTTAATTCAGCTTTATTCTCAGTGGTATGCCTGATACATGGCCAGCCAGTGTGCTGGGACAATTCCAATGATAATAGCCAGAGTTTGACCTAAGCATTGGAGAGGCCACAAACCAGGTCCCACAGGAAAATTCATCCTGCCCAGATGTTTGGTAAAAGGAACAGAATTTTTAAAAATAAATTAATATCCAAGGGGCTCCTGGGTGGCTCAGTCTGTTAAGCATCCCACTCTTGATCTCCACTCAAGTCATGATCTCACAGTTAGTGAGTTCAGGCCCCACATCGGCTCCACGTGAGTGGTGCAGAGCCCGATTGGGATTCTCTCTCTACTCTCTCTCTCTCTGCCCCTCCTCCCTCCCTCCCTTCCTCTCTCTCTCCAAATAAATAAATAAACATTTAGAAATAAATTAATTATTAATTAATATCCAAGAATTATAATATTACAAATAAATATAAAAATATATAACTGCTTTTGAAAAGTTAGTATCTTCCAATACTGCTGTCAGTTTACACGTGGCATACTCTTTTCAGTAAGCTAGTATTTTTATTTAGCCAGTTCACACATTAATGTCATTTACTTGGACCCTAGTGATAGTAGCGTCTCAGACTCCTACGGTCAGTTCTTCTTCTACTGCACCAAACCAAAAGGTCTTTTGCTCTCATTTGGTCTGGTTATCTGTTTTACGCCCCCTGAAACCAAGTTTAGTGTCCAACCCACTGTGAATGTAACAGCCAATTAAATATTTTAAAAGAGCTATAATTTTCTCACTCCCAACCTTTGAACGGAGAGTCAACATAATTGGCCCATAGATGTGCCACTTAGGTGCATTCAAACTTTTGTCGTGGCATCTTTGAGCCCTTCTTTTCCCTAGACAGATGTCAGT